TTTTCAAGGGCCCTCACTATAAGTCCATATTAACACATGTCACCATACTGAGGTTACTGGGACTCAGTTTACACCCCCTTGTCAGGACAATAGACATTAGTGTAAAAACTCATGTGAAACATGAGACACCCTGACAACACAACTTGTTTATTGGAGTGACTACTGTCTTTCTTTGGACACTCCTTAGTTGCCAACTATATTTTAACTCAACTGCAAGAGATTTATCTGCCCATGAGATTAGTGCCTGGCCCTTCTGCCATTCCACAAAGCAGACAGACAACTATTCTTGGGAGCTATCTTCTATTTTCTTATTGGGGGTAATTGTCTCCATGCTTTTCCTTACTTTATTGCTTACCTGTGGTGTAAAAGCCATTCAAGAAGATATAAGCCATGTTAAAAGATAATGCTTCATTTTCCCTCTCCCAAGTTTCCATTAAAACAACAATGATGTACAAATACAGGGACAAAATTCAACACTGGAAACCAAAGAAAACAGTTGAGGAGACTTTCTAGTAACCACAGAACAAATGAGACTGAAAAAGAAACTCAGTGGATAACCAACTCACATGCTACCTTCTGAGCCATACTAACCCTGCAAACCTACAAGTGGTAGGGAGTCTCCAGCCATCTGAAAATAGAACAGCCTACGCCTTACCCCCCATGATAAGGGCCCCCTTCCCTCCACTGCTACCCACATCTGTGGTTTGGGGGAGTCAAAAGCTCTTCATCCTTGGGATATCCACTATCATCTCCTTGAACTCATCTGGAGAACACAAACTAGGACCTAACAGCTAGTTTCTCCCCAGAAACCGTGAAGACCCAAAGCTGTAGCATGATATATTCAAAGTGCTAAAAGAAATAAATAACTGTCAACCAAAAATTTTATATTCAGCAAACTAAAGATAGTATAAATGCATTTTTTTGTTTGTAACTCCTTTCTTAAAATCTGATTTAAAAGACAACTGCATAAAGTAAGAACTATAAATCTACACTAATACAGACACAAAATATAAAAGTATAATTTGTGAAAATAACAGCACGAGGGAAACAGATCTATAAGAGTATATGAAGGAGCAAAGTTTTGTACATGCTGATATTAATCTGAACAGGGTTGTTATAAATTGATGTGAATTGCAATTCCCAGGGAAACCACTAAGAAAATAACTCAAAAAGTATAGTAAACAAACGATTAGGGAATTAAAATGGTACGTTGGAAAATTACTATCTCACACAAAAGAAGGCAGTAATAGAGGGCTGGAGAACAAAAAAGACACTTGGGTTCCAATCCTGTTTGTAAAACGTTTGGAAGTTGCCATTCAGTCCTGACAAGTAAAGCTGAACAAATAGAAAAGTCAACTCTTCTTAGGTCCTTAAGAGAAATGAGGTCGTAGAGCATATTGCTGCCCCCCAAATTGGAGAAAAAGACAGGTTGATACAGAGAATCATAACGTACCAGAGCAGAAACCCATGGACAGCAACTTCCAAAGGAACCATTGCCGGAGTAGGAAAACTTGAATCTTCATATTGATGAATTACTGGAGTCCCAGGACAAGTCTGAGAGTTAAAACGTCAAGGGTAGCCAGTCATGGGGCAGGGGGATGCTTTTGCTTTTGTGAGTTTTACCTCCAGAAGTTCAACCAGATTCTCATAGAAAATATGAGAGAAAAACATCCTTGTGCTTCTGGCAGAAGGAGGGGGAAAAGAACCACCTTGAAATAAGCCAGAGTGCTCTGTTCTTCTTAACAGGGTCTGCCCTCAGGAGAAACTAGTTAACCAGAGTGTAGCTAGTTGGGGTCTTATCAGAGCCTAAACAACATGGGGGAAGGGAAATACCCAACTCCAGCCCACTTTATCCATCCTAAGCAGTGATAAAAAAAAAAAACCTGAGAAACACTTGTGAAGTTTACAATCCAGAGGCACACATTCACTAAAAGGCTGGTACGTAATCGTAAGACTGTAGAACACTTCCTCACGCCCCACATCTTACCACCACGTTACTAAATGCCTATTGACAGCCGTTCTTTTTACCCTGTACATCATATCCAGCTAACAAGAAAAAATTGCAAGGTGTACTAAAATACAAAAAAACAGTTTGAAGAGATAGAGCAGGCATCAGAACAAGACATGGCAGGGATGCTGGAATTTTCAGACAAGACATTTAAAACAATGATTAATATGCTAAGGACTCTGATGGATAAAATAGCATGCAAGAACAGATAGACAATGTAAGCAGAGAGGTGGAAACCCTAGGAATAGAAAATAAACACTAGAGATCAAAAACACTAACAGAAATGGGGAAAGAAAGCCTTTGATAGGCTTGTTAGTAGACTGAATGCAATTGAGGAAAGAATGTCTGAGCTTGAGGTTATATTAACAGAAACCTCTAAAACTGAAAAGAAAAGAGGCAAAGACCAGGGGGAAAAAACAGAACAGAATATCTAAGAACTGTGAGGCAAATACGAAACATAATAGGAACATCAGAAGGAGAAGAGAGAAAAAACCAGAAGCAATATTTGAAGGAACGATGACTGAGAATTTCTCAAAATTAATGTCAGACACCAAACCACAGGTTCAGGAAGCTCCGAGAACAGTAAGCAGGATAAATGCTGAAAACAGAAACAAGAAAAACCGTACCTAGGCATATCATATTCAAACTACAGAAAATCAAAGATATGGAAAAAATCCTGAGAGAAGCCAGAGGAAAAAAAACACCTTACCTAAGGGGGAACAAAGAGAAGAATTACATTCGACTTCTCATAAACAATGCAAGCAAAAAGAGAGTGAAGTGAAACATATAAAATGTTGACAGGGAAAAAAATCACCACCTAGAATTCTGTAAAACTTGTAAACTACACTTGCAAAACTATCTTTCAAAAGTGAAAGATATCAAGACTTTCTCAGACAAACAAAAATTGAGAGCATTTGTTGCCAGTATGCCTGCCTTGCAAGAATTATTAAAAGAAGTTCTTTAGAGAGAAGAAATGTAATATAGGTCAGAAACTCGGATCTACATAGAGAAAGAGCACTAAAAAAGAAATAAATAAAAGTAACATAAAACCTTTTATTTTTCTTCCTTTTAATTGGCCTAACAGATAACAGTTTGTTCAAAATGATGAAGCAACAGTATATTCAATTGTTCATGTTTATACACAAGAGAAATGAATTGCAAGAATGCACAAGGGATGGAAGGGGGATTAGGATTATTTTGTTATTAGAAGGTACTCTCGAGCACAGTATGGCCGGCGACATTAGCTAGCGCTCGCTCAACTCTCTCTAACGGGGAGGCAGCGGACTACAAGAGACTGAACTGTATCTGCCTCTATTTCCAACAGACTCACGTTCAACTTTCGCTCACAAAAAAAGCCGGGAAAATTTTATTAATCCTTTTTTTAAAAAAGTTAATATAAAATTATAGCAAAAAAAGGAACCTGAACTTTAGTAACACAGCTGGAACAATCCGCAGTGGCAGCGGCGGGAGAAGAGATTTAATTTAGTTGATTTTCTGTGGTTGTTGGTTGTTCGCTAGTCTCACGGTGATGGAAGCTGCACATTTTTTCGAAGGTACCGAGAAGCTGCTGGAGGTTTGGTTCTCCCGGCAGCAACCCGACGCAAACCAAGGATCTGGGGATCTTCGCACTATCCCAAGACCTGAGTGGGATGTACTTTTGAAGGATGTGCAATGTTCAATCATAAGTGTGACAAAAACTGACAAGCAGGAAGCTTATGTACTCAGTGAGAGTAGCATGTTTGTCTCCAAGTGACGTTTCATTTTGAAGACATGTGGTACCACCCTCTTGCTGAAAGCACTGGTTCCCCTGTTGAAGCTTGCTAGGGATTACAGTGGGTTTGACTCAATTCAAAGCTTCTTTTATTCTTGTATTTCATAGCTTCTTTTATTCTCGGAAGAATTTCATGAAGCCTTCTCACCAAGAGTACCCACACCGGAATTTCCAGGAAGAAATAGAGTTTCTTAATGCAATTTTCCCAAATGGAGCAGCATACTGTATGGGACGTATGAATTCAGACTGTTGGTACTTGTATACTCTGGATTTCCCAGAGAGTCGGGTAATCAGTCAGCCAGATCAAACCCTGGAAATTCTGATGAGTGAGCTTGACCCAGCAGTTATGGACCAGTTCTACATGAAAGATGGTGTTACTGCAAAGGATGTCACTCGTGAGAGTGGAATTCGTGACCTGGTACCAGGTTCTGTCATTGATGCCACACTGTTCAATCCTTGTGGGTATTCAATGAATGGAATGAAATCGGATGGAACTTATTGGACTATTCACATCACTCCAGAACCAGAATTTTCTTATGTTAGCTTTGAAACAAACTTAAGTCAGACCTCCTATGATGACCTGATCAGGAAAGTTGTGGAAGTCTTCAAGCCAGGAAAATTTGTGACCACCTTGTTTGTTAATCAGAGTTCTAAATGTCACACAGTGCTTTCTTCTCCCCAGAAGACTGAAGGTTTTAAACGTCTTGATTGTCAGAGTGCTATGTTCAATGATTACAATTTTGTTTTTTTACCAGTTTTGCCAAGAAGCAGCAGCAACAGCAGAGTTGAATAAGAAAAATGAAAAAACGCAAAAAGAGAACACACATAGAAGGTGGTGGCTGCTATTTAGATTTTGAAACTGGGGGCCATGCTTTCCATAACCACCACCTTGTAGTTGTAGAAAGCCCTAGATGTAATGATAGTGTAATCATTTTGAATTGTATGCATTATTATATCAAGGAGTTAGATATCTTGCATGAATGCTGTCTTCTGTGTTTAGGTAATCTTTGCCACTCTTGCTGTGAAATTGAAGTGCATGTAGAAAAAAACTTTTACTATATGGAACTTTACAACACTTGTGAAAGCAATTCAATTTGGTTTATTAGGCACAGTGTAATATTTCTCCAGGTATCATCCAAAATTCCCCACAGACAAGGCTTTCGTCCTCATTAGGTGTTGGCCTTAGCGATCTTATATTTATTTTATATTTTCTTCCCTGAACAGATGGAGCAGCGTACTGTATGGGACGTATGAATTCAGACTGTTGGTATGTTTGATGCAATTTTCTGAGTTTTTTTGATGGTGGTTCTATGTAAAATTTATTTTAAACTGCTAATTGTCATTTTTAGAAATGATTTTTTTCTTTTTTATAGGTACTTGTATACTCTGGATTTCCCAGAGAGTCGGGTAATCAGTCAGCCAGATCAAACCCTGGAAATTCTGATGAGTGAGCTTGACCCAGCAGTTATGGACCAGTTCTACATGAAAGATGGTGTTACTGCAAAGGATGTCACTCGTGTAAGCATATTCAATAATAATTGTTTCTGGATTCTTCTGCATGGGAACTAAAGTTTTGTTTAACTCATTCTCAGTTTACTTTTCAAATTTGTGTTTAATTTAGATTCTGTTCTTTTTCCTAGGAGAGTGGAATTCGTGACCTGATACCAGGTTCTGTCATTGATGCCACACTGTTCAATCCTTGTGGGTATTCAATGAATGGAATGAAATCGGATGTAAGTAATTATATTTTGCTTCATTAATTATTTATATATTTAAATGTACTCTTTCCATTATTAACACAGAGCTTTTTCTCTAAGGGAACTTATTGGACTATTCAGCTCCCTGCATTTGTAGTCCTTTAATAGATTTCTTCCCTCACCAGTGTCTTCCTCCCAACCCCCCAAATAAAGCACTGTTACACTGTGGGTTTATATACTATATCCTTACACCGCAGACAGAGTAGAGAGGGGATGGTCCCTGGGCTTTTAAGGACATGGGGATTGGGCCTCCATTCTATTGGCATGGGCTCTTTTGAAAGATGTGACAAAAATAAACATCTCCAGTGTTGATTGGCAGGGAAAACCCACAGGTTGAAGATTGAGATTAGGGTGTACTGGCTGAAGTGGGTGGAAACCATATGCTATTCCGTGCTCTTTAGTAAATGAGATCAGTTTCTAAGGAGCACCATGCCTTTACTAGCTTGCTAAGTAGTATAAAAGGATTTTTATCACTAAATTGATTAACAGGGAGAGAGTTAGCATAAAGGTTGTACTGGATTCAACAAGTCAAGTTAGCTTGGATCATTCACCTTAACTTGCTTAGCAGTCATTATCACTAATTTCCATTAGTAGTGTACTGTAAACTTTGATTCAAAGCAGAATCATTGTTTTTTCCATTGTGGGACTTTGTGATGCATTTGTGTGTTCTGACTTCATCTGTTCCTCTAACTATGGTGTTTTTTTCACCATGGAAGTCACAGGATCAAATGAATGACTGCCCAGGAAAAGAATTATCCAGATTATTCCGATATAAATCATGAAGCAGAATATGTGAATGAATAAATAATACATGACATACAAAATTCCAAAATATTCAATGGGAAATGACTAGAAATATATAAGCTTTCAAGAGTCGGCATCTTTTGATTATATTTGCAAATACTGTGGGATTTAAGCAACTGAGAACTGCAAAGTTGGCTAAATTTTGTATTTCTTGTCCTCACAATATTTTTTAATAAATAATTTCTGGATTGATGCAGTGATGTTTTGAACAATATTTTTTTAATAAATAATTTCTGGATTGATGCAAAAAAAAAGAAGGTACTCTCACTCTACCCATGAAGTTGACTCGGATTAGTTGTAAATGTATATTGCAAACTCTTGGGCAACCACAGAAAAAGGAGGTGGAGGAAGAGGGGGAGGAGAGGGGGGAGG